AGGTCGTCCCCCGGCACGTAGAGTGCCCCTCTGCGGAGGAGTAGTCCGTCGCGTATCTGGAACTCTCCATCCTTCGCTGTGCCTCTTTGCACCTCCTCCATCTTGGATCATGCGAACGAGTCCGTCTGCAGCGCGCGACGCACCGCGTCCAGGTCCACTGTGGCTGAAGCACACGCCCACGCTTTCGGTGCGAAAATGTGCTTGGCCGCCACCGGTGCCGCTTCCTCGAGATACTGCGGCTTCCTGGATAGTGCATCCGCCATGACGTTGCTGTCTCCCGGGATGTATTCTATCCGGAAGTCAAAATCCGCAAAGAACTCCGCCCAGCGTATGTGTCTCTGGTTCAGGAACCGCGCCGTGCGCCAGTACTCCAGGTTCTTATGGTTCGTGCGGACTTGCACTGTGTGTCTGGCTCCGATGAGGAAGTGCCGCCACGCTTTGAAGGCTGCTTGAATGGCCAGCAACTCCCTGTCCCAGATGGTGTAGTTCTGTTCTGACTTGCTGAGTTTCCTGGAGTAGAATGCGCACGGCCTCCAATCCCCCTGCGGGTCTTGTTGCAACAGGACCGCCCCCACCGCTCTGTCCGAGGCGTCCGTTTCAACCCGCATTGGTTTGCTGGGGTTTACGTGCAGCAGCTGTTCTTCGGACGCGAAGAGCTGCTTGAGTTTCCGAAAGGACTGCTCCGCCTGGTCCGTCCAGGTGAACTTCTTCTTCTTGGAGCTGAGGGTGTCCGTGATGGCCGCCGTTTCCATCGCGAACCCTTTGATGAACTTGCGATAGAAGTTGGCGAAGCCGACGAACTTCTGGACCTCCTTCCTATTGCGCGGGCTCTTCCAGTCCAACACCGAACGGACCTTGGCGCTGTCCATGGCGAGCCCCTTGTCGGATAGCTTGTAGCCCAGGAAATCCACCTCCGTCATGTCAAACTGGCACTTCTCCAGCTTGGCGTAAAGTCTGTGCTCCCGTAGTCTTTGCAGGACCTCCTTGACGTCTCCCTCGTGAGCTTCCTGTGATTCCGAGAAGATCAGGATGTCGTCCAGGAAGCAGACGCATTTCTTGTAGAGGAGTCCCGCTAACACGTGGTGCATAAAAGCTTGGAAGCAGTGAGAGCCGTTTTGGAGACCAAATGGCATAACTCGATATTCATAGGTGCCCAAAGGTGTAAACATGGCCGTCTTCCACTCATCGCCTTCCCTCATACGTATAAGATTGTACGCTCCTCGTAAATCCAACTTGGTGAAGATCCGTCCCTTCCTCACCGTCGCGAGCAGGTCGTCTATCTTGAGCATGGGGAAAGCTGTGGGCTTTGTCTTGGAATTTATGATTCTGTAATCAACTATCAGCCTTTTTTGGGGCGTGTCCTTTTTCTTGATGAAAAACACGGGACTGCCCCCCACTGCTTTGGATTCTTGGATGAATCCCCGCTTCAGGTTGTGATCTATGAACTCCCTGAGTTCTTGTAGTTCGTCTTCAGACATGGAATACAGTTTCCCAGTAGGCAGCGTCGCCCCCGGCAGGAGGTCAATCTTGCAGTCATAGGGCCTGTGGGGCGGCAGCTTGTCCGCTTCCTTCTCGCAGAAGACCTCCAAAAACGCCTTGTACTTGTTCGGTACTGCTTGCACCATGCCTAGGTGTAGCTGTGGTTCATCCTCCTGCCCCTCCCCTTCCTGGCTGGGCTGGATGCAATGTTCCGCGCAGTAGGAGGAGCCGAAGGTCAATTGACGCTGGTACCATGCCAATGCCGGGCTGTGCCTATCCAGCCAACTCATGCCCAACACTATGGGTGTGTCCGACAGGTGGGTGACGTTGAAGCTTATGACTTCGTGGTGATTTCCAATTTGCATCACCATAGGGGGTGTTTGTTGTGCCACCTGTCCTCCTAGTAGCTCCCTGCCATCGACTGTGACTACGTTCAGGGGCATTGTGGCTGGTAAGAGCGCTATGCGATGTTGCCGGATAAAGTCCACTCCTATAAAGTCTGCATTACTGCCAGAGTCAATGGTAATAGGAACTTCCAGGGTGAGTCCATTTGGCAGTTGGAGCGATGCGGTGAGTTGCACCACTGGTTTGGGTGGGAGGGGATCTGTGGGCTGTAAAATCTCTGGGGACTGCTTCACTGACTTGCCTGGCTGGGCCCCAGCGCCTCTCCCTCCAACCAGGCTTCGTCGTTTCCCTGTAGCTGTTCCTCCTGTTGATCTGCCCCCCTTACTGTTGCTGAGGCTGCAGTGTGCTTCTGGATCCTCTGGGGACACTCTTTGGCCATGTGCTGCGCACTGTCGCAGATGTAGCACTTCCTGTTCCCTCTAGGAGGCTTCGCCTTGACTGCTCCTGGTGTTTGGGCTCTGGTTGCTGTCTGAGCCCTAGCACCACCTATCTCCATTGGTTCTTCTCCCCTCCCCAATGGAGGCGTGGTTTCCGCGCGTCCCGTCTCTCTGGGTAGGAAAGGAGTTGTCCTGGCTTGTGTGCGCCCTAAACCTCCCTCATTCCTGTTCCAAGGGCGTTCTTCCAGGCGCACGCCTACCGCTAGGGCTCTTTGTATGACCTCCGTGGTGGTGGTGGGTCTCTCCCCCCTTGCCAGCTCGTCTTTCACAGCCCCATTTAGTCCTTCCCAGAACAGATCTCTCACGGCAGCGGAATTCTTCTCCCACCCGAGCACATTTACCAATCCAAAAAAGTGGGAGTGATATTGTCTTACAGTGCTTTTGCCCTGTTTTAACCCATGCATTTCCCTCCTGGCGACATCCACATCTACCGTCGATTTAAAACAAGCGTCCATAGCTTTGAGAAATGCGTCTGAATCATTGAGGGCGGGGTCATTTTCGCGCCATAAAGTGCGCAGCCACGATTTAGCTTCCCCATGCAGATGAGTTATTATGAAACCCACTTTCTCCTCATCTCTAAAGTCTTTCCGAAGCAATTTGAGCGCGAAAACTATGTCTGCTCTGAAGTTAGGATACTGCTGCAGGTTCCCGTCAAAATGGGCTACGATGCTGCCCCCCCTCTTCCCGAGGCCAACTCCCTCCGGTTTGGGTCCTGGCAGCCCCTCCTTGCCCAATTTTTCCCACCTGGTCCGCAGATCCTCGCAGAACGCTGCTGCTTCTTGCTCTCTCTTCCTGGAAACTTCCACTTGTTCGTAAAGTGTCTGAACTGCTTGTTCCAGCTCTTTCACCTTCTCCTCTGTAGTCATTTTTCCCTCTCTTCGTGAGCTCGCAAAACACCAAGCTTTGCCCCTCGCTGCGCCAACTCGCGCTGCGAGGGTTTAATTAGGGAGACGGAGCTTACTGTCAGGGCTGCCTCAGGTCCCAGCTCACAGAGGACCAACGCCAGTCCGTTGTTATATTAAATAGCCTTTATTGAAGTTCAGTTTCTCATTTACAGCCACGGCGTGCAGCTCTACGTCTTAAACCCTAGGCCGCCGAAGCTCTGTCTGAGTCTCCTCCCCCCAGACACCAGTTTAAGACCCTAGCCTTGCTCCACCTCTTCCTTTGTTCTTTCCTCCTCTGGGTCCGCCTGTCCGCCGGGGTTTTCCCCTTTCTAGACTCTTCTGACGCTGAGTCCCCCGAGTCTTCCCCCTCCCTCCGGCAGGCTTTAGGACCTGGTTCCCAATCCGGGCTTCCTGCTGTCCCGCGCGCCTGTACATTTGAACTTGGCGCGCGCGCCCAGCCTGCCACCTTCCTTCTGACCGTTATACTGCTCCTGTCGCTGCTCCCCTCTTCGGGGACACTAGCTGGGCCTGACTCCTCCTCCCTGCTTGCCGGAGGAGACGCTGACTCTGACCTATGGGACTCTTCCCCCCCACTACGCTCTGGTGGGGAAGCTGGCCCTGATTTCCAGCTACTGCTCTGGGAGTCTCCGCTGGCCTCCTGCTTCTGGTGTGTCCCCCCTGGGACCCCCCTTGCCCTGGCCATCGGCGCCCCCTTCTGGGAATCTTCTGATTCACTGGAGAGGCTCATGGAATCTCTCGGGTCACTGTCATTCTGCCCTCCGCTGCCCTCAGATTCCTCCCCCTCGCTCTCCATTTCCTCTCTCCCCTGTGCCTCTGCTCCTGAGCCCCTGACAGCGTGTTTACTCTCCTCCATTGAAGAGGAGCTACTTCCCACGATCCCTGGAGGCTCCCTATAATCCATTTGGCTTTTGCTCTCTCCCTCCTGAACTGATGGCAGTTTCCTGACAGGAAACTTCAGCTAATGCAGAATTCAACAGCCAGGTTGTTCACTGGGGCAAGACACATAATGTCCTGACCTAATATCACTGGCACCTTCATTATATGTTTTTAGGCATCAGGCGAAAACCTTGCTCTTCAACCAGGCCTTTGGCTGATTAACTGTCTATGTCCTTTAAATATGTTTGTGGGAGGGCGGCATTATTGTTTAGCTTTGTTCTTGTTTTTATTATGTACTTTGCGGGGTTTTTCTTTCTTTTTCTTTCTTTTTTTGATGTGAACTGCCCTGAGATCTTCAGATGAAGGGCAGTAGACAAATTTAATAAATAATCATGATCATAATCATAACATTAAGAAGAGCATCTGCTGGATCAGACCAATAGCCCATCCAATTCAGCGTCCTTTTCTCACAGTTGCCTATGGGAAAATTACAAGCAGGATCTGAGCATGGAGCACCCACCCCTCCTTCGGTCTCCACCAACTGGCATTCAGAAGGGGTCGGAAAGAGAGAGAGAGAGAGAGAGAGGCTTCACCCACTTTTGACTCTGGCCCTGCCCCCACTAGCTTTGGCCCCATGTGGGCATCCTGCCAGATTACCCCCCAGGGAATCTGACCCCCAAGAGAGAAAACAGGTTGCCCACCTCTAGTCTAGCATAGAGACTGATACTTTATGGCAAATGTTTCACATATTCCCAGTAGAACATGGCCATGAAAGCCACAGGCTAGGCCTGTGGTTCTCTTACTAATCATATGAAATGGCACCAGGTTCATAGTGCCGTGCAGGAAGATTGGAAGATTGCAGGCCAGGAGAGTTGACGGCAGAACATCTCTCTTTCAGTGTCCTTCTTTGGGGACGGCTATGTAGAGATGCCCTTGGCGAGCTCCTGCAGCACCATCCAGCTTCATCTGCAGTTCTACACCCGGCAGCAGAATGGACTCCTCTTCCTGGCTGCAGGACAGAAGGACTATCTACTGTTGGAGCTCCGGGCTGGCATTCTACAGGTCAGCGAGATGTTCTCCTGCAGCTTTTACACACAACAGTTTTTATTGAATGATTGTGCAGCTGTTGCTAGCGATGGGAGTGGATTTGGTCAGAACATGAATTTCCCCAGTTTGGGGAGCCTCACTTTTTGCCCATTATGAGCAGGCACAGCTCCCTGGGGTTTTGTGTCCAGCTCCATTTCCTCCTGGGTGGAAGGGTGGCATAGAAATCAAACAAATCAATCAATCCTGATACCAGGGGTGCTTCCAGATGACCCCATTTATTGAGCAATCGTCCTCATTTGTTTGCATTGATTATTTAATGAACATTCATTCTAGTTTTTTTCCAGGGAGGTTAGATGACCTTTCATCAAAGCCAAGTCTTGTCCCACACTTTCCAGAATGTCTAATTTTTTGAGGAAGTGGGTTTTTGTTGGGCAAGACCTTCCAATCACCTTATAATTGTGAAACCTGAATTTGCCAGCATGTTATTGAATCCCACCTGAAAGTAGCGATGGTCTGGGAGTGCTCTCAGCCTTCCTGCCAATCTCCTCCATTTTCAAGCCAGAAAAATAACAACCCCATGATCTCAAAAAGGAGGAGGGGGTAGCTGGTGGCAGAGAAGGCTTGTTTCATCCATAGCTGAAAGTCATTCACTTCAGAAGCACAATTTCCTGCAGGGGACTTATGGTTTCCTCTGCCTCCTAACTCAGCTCAAAAGGCAACCCCAGGCTCCCCAGAATTTCCCAGGGCTCCTGTGGCTTGGGAAGCTGTTGTGCTGCATGCCAGGAAAGGTAAGGAAGCCTTACAGAGAGGCTTCCTGCAGGGCCACCCTGCTGTCTCTTCTGCTAGGTAAATACAGTGGTACCTCGGGTTACAGACACTTCAGGTTACAGACGCTTCAGGTTACAGACTCCGCTAACCCAGAATAGTACCTCGGGTTAAGAACTTTGCTTCAGGATGAGAACAGAAATTGTGCAGCGGCGGTACAGTGGCAGCAGGAGGCCTCATTAGCTAAAGTGGTGCTTCAGGTTAAGAACAGTTTCAGGTTAAGAACAGACCTTCAGAATGAATTAAGTTCTTAACCCAAGGTACCACTGTAAATGGGAAGGTAGCATGTGGCAGGTGTTCAGAGGATTGCAGGTGGGCTCTGAGGGAAGGTATTTGAACTCTGCCATACTTGCAATGATGTCATTGGAAGCATAAAAGGGTCTCAGTTAAAGACTGGACTGGAGAGGACTCAAAAACTGGGCATTTGAAACAAACTTTTGATAGAGAGCAGAAGGACTTTTTAAAGGTTTTAATTAACATAACATCAAAATTACAAACAAAACAAAAAAACATAATCAAGGTTACAAAACATAACACAGGAGAACAGCACAAAGCCAGAGTTCATACTTTGGTGGGAGAAGAACATTTTTATATACTGTATCTAATTTGACACATAGGAAATGGAATCCCACCAAACAGCTTAGAAATGTTCCTGATCCTTTAGAAACAGGTAATTTGTGAGTTGCTTTCTTTTCCATGGCCAGATTCCACATATTCTTGAGAGGTTTAAGTCCTGTAGTGTCTTCCAGTTCTGGGCCAAAGAAGTTCCCTCTGCAGCCAGCATCCACACAAGAAGTTCCTTAGATCACAAAGGCCAATTTTAAAACAAATGAATTCCTCACATGGCCTGGCATAAACTCTCACTCAATTTGCAGCATTGAGATTGTGACACTAGCCTAGTTTACAGAGTTGTCAAAAGAGTTACTGTACTGAGATAACAAACATAAGGCACACTGAACATTCAGAAAGTTCTAATGAACAAATGATTCTAATGATTCTGATTTGCCTTCTCCTTTTGTAGGCCAGAATGGACCTGGGCTCTGAAGAACTGACTCTCAAGTCCCCAGCAGGACCACATCTCAGTAACCTCATCATCCACGATGTTGATCTGTTGATGGCCGATGGGTGGATGACCCTGATTGTGGATGGCCTTTTCAATACCTCTGTGGAAATTCCAAGACCCCTGGAGGAGCTGGACATCAATTATGGCCTCTATGTGGGAGGAACAGGGAGCCTGGAACTGCCGTATCTCATCGGAGTGAGTGTGCCCTTCAGGGGCTGCCTCCACATGGTGACGTTCAACGATCGTGATGTCCTGTCCGCACTGGCTTCTAGCAGTGGCACCAAGAGATTCCACAGCATCCGAGAGGGGTGCAGTGTAGAGTTCTCTGCTGGGCCCAATGATCCCCTTGGCTTTCTGGGACCAAACTCTTATATTGCGCTCCCCGGCTGGAGTGCAAGGAATGAAGGGACCATTGAGTTTGTAATAACCACAAGCATCAAGCAAGCCCCTCTGATCTATCAGTCAGGACTTGAGAATGACTTCTTCTACCTGGAGATCTTTGACGGGCGATTGAGAGGGGTGGTGGAGAAGGGCAATGGTGTTGTGGTGCTCCACAACAACGTTTACCTCAGCAATGAGGAGGAACACTACGTCAAGGTCTTCATGGATGTCCGGAAGTTTGAGATCCTTGTTGACTACTATGCCTCACAGACCTCCAACAAGGGTATCCACAGTCACCTCGATCTTCAAGGGCCACTCTTCCTGGGAGGTCTGAATGAGAAGGCTGCCCAGAGAATGAGAGAGCGTGGGCTGGGTTTTATGTCTGGAAACAGCTTCTCTAACACCTCCTTTGTGGGCTGTCTGGAGGACCTGAGGATAAATGAGGAGAAGAGGAGTTTGCAAGATGCTCTCATCACAAGGGACATAACAGCCGGCTGCAGGAAACTGGAGCAGTACTCTGACTATGATGACGCATATGAGCAGGATGAAGCCCCCACAAGTTCTGCTCCTGACCATTGGCATGGCCCTGTTATGGAACCATGTCGCCCTGATGCCAGCCTCCCCCCAGTCTTTGCTAACTTCACCAAATTGCTGCATGTCAGTCCTTTGGTTGTTGCTGAAGGAGGGATGGCTTTTCTGGAGTGGCGACACACCCAGCCAACCATTGACCTGAACAGTGCTAACATCAGGCAGTCTCAGGTGGTTTTCAGCATCAACATGGACCCAAGGCATGGGCAACTGGAGTTAGGAATCTCCCGGACCAGAGGCAGAAGGAAATTCACTCTGTTGGACATCATCAATCGAAAAGTTAAGTACGTTCATGACGGCTCTGAGAGACCAATGGATCAGTTGCTGCTGGAGGTAACTGTCACTGCCAGGAAAGGGATCCCAGAGTGTCTGCAGCAAGGCCAGATCTATCTGCTACCCATAAAGATAAGTCCAGCCAATGATCCCCCTGAAGTGGTCTTTCCACAGGGAGATCGCATGGTCATTCTGGAGCACACGCGCAAGCATCTCAACCCAGCCATTGTCCGTGCACTTGATGATGATACCCCCTGTGACAGCTTACGATTCCAACTGCTTGGTGGGAAGAGAATGGAAGAAGGCTACATAGAATATGACTTCCACCCTGGAGTCCCAATTGAGGAGTTTTCCTGCAGGGACTTGGAAGCCGGTCATGTGGTCTATGTCCACCAAAATGGGCCCACATCAACCCTCATTGTCCAAGTTAATGATGGTATGGTGATGAGCCCAGTGGCTACCTTAAGGGTGGTTGCTGTAGAGCCAGACATCCAGGTACGCAACAACACAGGCCTCTTTGTCTCGCAAGGGGGTACGGTTCCTATCACCCTGGCCAACCTTTCTGTAGAGACCAATGCAATACAGCAAAAAGTGCCCATCTTGTATCGCCTGACTGTGCCCCTTCAGTACGGTGAGATCCAAAAGCAAGGGAGCCTGGGTGGAGAATGGAAGAGGGTGGAGTCTTTCTATCAGCAGGATGTTGAGCAAGGGCGCATCCAATATTTCAGCACAGACGAAGATCATCACGCAGAAGATACAATTGAGAAGCTACAGTTTGTGGTCCAAGTGGGTCAGAAGACACTGAGAAACAACACCTTCCTCATTAGGATCAAGAGGGCCACCATCAGGATGAAGACCATGATCCCCCTCCAGATGATGAATAAGAAAGAGAGGAACATCACCTCTGCTGATTTGGAGGCAGCCTTAGAGGAGCTGAGCTCTAGCTCAGAGCCTTTCCACTATGTCATAATTCAGCCACCCAGAAAGGGGAACCTCGAGCTTCGTGGCACAAGGCTGACTGAAGGCTTCGGTTTCACACAAGATGATTTGCAAAGCCATCAGCTCAGCTACAGCGCAACCATCCGAGATTCAAAGGAGACTGAAGACACCTTCCAATTCCGTGTCACGGCTGGAGAGCAATACTCCCCCATATATACTTACAGGATACAGGTTGGGGGGGACCCGGATGCCCCTATACTGACCAATGTCCTTCTGTCTGTTTTGGAAGGAGGGCAGGCTGTCATCTCCAAGGACCACCTGTTCGTCAAGAGTGCGAACAGCATGAACTACGTGTATGAGGTAGTAGATGGCCCGACCCATGGGAAGCTGATCTGGAGGACACTTGAGCATGTGCCGGCCAGCAAGGAGGTGATAACAAAATTCACCAATGAAGACATCCTCCAAGGCCGCCTTGTTTACCAGCATGATCATTCAGAGACCCTGGAAGACGACATTCCATTTGTGGCCATCAAGCAGGAAGATGGAAGCTCTGACTTTGAGGCTGAGGATGTGAGAGGCGTTTTCAGGGTCTCTATTCAGCCTGTGAACAACCACCCTCCATTCCAGTTGGTCAACAAGGTCTTTAATGTGGTGCGGCATGGGCAGCGCTTGATGACCACTGATGATATCGCCTTCTTTGACAAGGATTCAGGCTTCTCAGATACCCAGATAGTGTTAGTAAGGAAGGACATTCTTTTTGGTAGCATCATCGCTGTCGAGAACAGAAGCCGGCAAATCTATCGTTTCACTCAGGATGACCTAAGGAAGAAGAAAATCCTCTTTGTCCACTCTGGAGCTGACAGGGGATGGATCCAGTTCCAGGTTTCTGATGGTCTGCATCAGGTGGCGGCTCTCTTGGAAGTGCAGGCTTCAGACCCTTACCTCAAAATCAGCAGCTCCACAGGCTTAGTCATCCACCAAGGCAACCAAGGGACCATTGACTCCTCCATCCTCAGCTTGGAGACCAACATGGATGTCAGGACTGATGAAGACATTCTCTTCCGCATAGTAGCCCCACCCAGATGGGGCATGATGCTTCGAGGTGGGCAGCAAGTGTCCTCTTTCACTCAGAGGGACCTGCTGGCAGGAGAGGTTCTTTACCAGCACAATGGGAGCAGGAATTCCCAAGACAAGATCCACCTTTCTGTCGAAGCAAACCAGGTGGCTGTTGACGCAGTGCTGAAGATTGTGATAGTCCTGGACCCCCATCCTAGCCCACTAAACCTTGTTCACCATGAGAGAATAAGGATTCTCCAAGGGGAAGCCGTGGAGATCAAGAATGACTATTTGCTAGTAAGTTGGTCTAAACCACTCAGCCTAGGGCTTGCCAATCAGAAGGTCGGTGGTTCAAATCCCCATGACAGGGTGAGCTCCCGTTGCTCGGTCCCAGCTCCTGCCAACCTAGGAGTTTGAAAGCATTTCAAAGTGCAAATAAATAAATAGGTACTGCTCTGGCGGGAAGGTAAACGGCATTTCCGTGTGCTGCTCTGGTTTCGCCAGAAGCGGCTTAGTCATGCTGGCCACATGACCCGGAAAAACTGTCTGCGAACAAACGCCGGCTCCCTCAACCAGTAAAGTGAGATGAGCCCAGAGTCGTTCGCAACTGGACTTAACTGTCAGGGGTCCTTTACTTTTACCTATGCTGTCCCTAGTTCTCTGTCCTTGAGTTTGGGAGACTATGAGGGCTGTTCTTGGAGTTGCAAAGCAGGAGGTGTATATTTATTCTGCAGATTAATTATGTTGTCCTTTTCTAAATTATATTTAAAAAATAGGCAGTCATCCTATGTACTCTATTTATTTCCAGCCCTAACAGACCACTTTTCACCATAGGTGGTCAAAAGGCAATTTGCAGGACAATCAATAAAACAAGCCATCAATCAAATACTGTGGTGTTTAAACAAAACCACAGGTAAAAGCTTAATACAACTTACTCCTTTTTATTTTACTCACTGTCAGGGCCGCCTCAGGTCCCAGCTCACAAGAGACCAACGCCAAGTCCACTTTATTTACAAAAGTCTTTATTGAAGTACATTGTTTGTTCCACAGCCGAGGCGCGCAGCCCCACGTCTGTTACGCTTAGACCGCTGAAGTCCCCTCTGAATCAGTCCCGCCTCTACACCAGTTTAAGAGGCTTGTGCTGGTCCACCTCTTCCTGTCCTTCCTTTTCCGCAGGGTCTTTCTGCCCCCCCCTGGGTTCCTCCCCTCCTGGATTCCCCTGACGCTGAGTCCCCAGACGCCTGCTCCCCCCTCCTCCGTGCTTTGGGACCAGGCTCCTCCTCCGGGCTCTCCGCATTTCCGCGCGCCTCCACATTTGAACTTGGCGCGCGTTCGCTACCTCTGACCTTCCTCTTGACAGTTACACTACTCTCTGTACTACTCTCCGCCCCTTCCGGCAGGACGTCTTGCCCCGATCTCCTTCCCCCCTCTGCTTCCTGCTCTGCTTCGTCTGTCACACTGGGAACTCCACCCTCTTCACTCCGTTCCGGCGGGGAAGCCGGCCCCGATCTCCAACTCCCACTCGGGGTTCCCCTGCTGCTCCCCTGCTCCTGACGAGTCCCCCCTGTGACTCCCCTTGGCCTGACCAGGGGCGCCCCCTTTTGGGAATCCTCCGATTCACTTGAAAGACTCATGGAAACCCTCAAGTCATTGTCATCCTCCTCCTCCTCGTTCCGGGATTCTTCCCCCTCGCTCTCAGTCTCCTCCCTCATCTGTGCCTCTCTCCCTGAACCCCTGACATCCATCCCCCCCTCGAAGCCCCCCCTTCCCCCCTCCTGCCCGTCGGGCGCAGGTTTTGGGAGCCGCGTCTCTGCAGGGGTAGATGCTGGATACAGTTCGTCTACTTCGATTTCCTCTGCTTCCAGCTCAGTGTATGTGTGCTCGAACTCGGGTTCGTCTCCCAAAGTGTTCTCGGTCTCCTCTCCCATCGTTACTTTGTCCGGTGCTGTTGGCCAAGGCCCCTCCCTCCACCTCCTGCGCCAGTCCTCCTCTGGTTGCTCGTCCCACCAAAAGAGGGTTCCGTCTCTACCCCCGAGCACGATCCCCTGGGAGGGCTCGATTCTGGCGTTCCCTCCTCCGCGGAAGAAAACCCCCGGAAAGTGCTGGCTGAAAGTGTGGGTGTAAAAAGCCAGTCGTCAAAGTACTCGGCTGGCATGGGCCTGTGTGGGAAAGGGGCATGGAACTCGTCCTTGAGAAGAGGCTCATCCAAAGCGTAGTCCGGCACCCAACTGTTGGCGCTGGCTGGGGTACCCTCTCTGGCGAGAAAATATTCTACTCCCTCTTCCCCCCATCTCGAGTCCAGAATCTCTGTGACCTCGTTGAGTGGTTCGGCCCTAGGTGACCTCCCCCTCTTGGGTGACTCTCTGCGTGGGTCTGGTGCCGTCCCTGACTCCTGAAATCTGTGTGGGGCCTTGTAGGGGGTGAGCACCGACCTATGAAAGACCGGGTGCATTCTGGAACCTTCGGGGAGGGCCAGTCGAAACGCTATGGGATTGATCCTGGCCTCAACTTGGTATGGCCCTAGCTGCCTGTGTCCTAGCTTCTTCTTAGCTAACGACTTGGCCGGCACCGCTTGGGCCGCTAACCATACCCAGTCCCCCACCTGGATGTCTTCTCCCGCCCTCCTGTGTTTGTCCGCCTGCACTTTATAGGCTTGTTTAGCTAGTTCCAAATGTCTCCGCAGCTCCTCGTGCACCTCTTGCAGTTCTGCTGCGAAATGGTCGGCCCCCTGCGGCGCCCCCTCCCCCGTCGTTACAAACCCCGGGAAGGTTCTGGGATGTCGTCCATTGTTAGCGAAGAACGGCGTCACCCCCGTCGACGCGTGCTTCGTGTTGTTGTAGGCAAACTCAGCCATCGGCAGGTAATCCACCCAAGCTGCGGGTCGCTGATTGGCGTAACATCTCAGGTACTGCTGCATGATAGCGTTGACCCTCTCTGCTTGGCCGTTGGTCTGTGGATGTCTCGCCGACGATAGGTTGATCTTGACGTGCAGGATACCTAGGAGCTTCTGCCAGAAACTGGAAACAAACTGGCGCCCCCTGTTGGACAGGATGGACCGTGGCAGCCCATGCACTCTGAACACGTGGTCGATGAAGAGTTTGGCGGTCTGTTCCACTGTCGCCACCTTCGCGCAAGGAATGAAGTGCGCCATCTTGGTGAACAGGTCCACAACCACCAGTACCGCCGTCTTGCCTCGAGAGCTGGGCAGATCAGTAACAAAGTCCAGCGCTACCCGCTCCCACGGTTGCAGTGGCATCTCCAGCGGTTCCAGAAGTCCGGCTGGCTTCTGGTGCACTGGCTTGGACCTCTGACAGGTGTCACATCTGGCGACGTAATCCGCGACCTCTCCTCACATTTGGGGCCACCAAAAGTCCCTGGCTACCAGTTCCGCTGTTTTCTCCTTGCCGAAATGGCCCGCGCTGGGTGCGTCGTGCAACTGGTGCAGAACCTTTGCGCGGAGATCGTCCCCTGGCACGTAGAGGGCACCCTTGCGAGTTAACAGCCTGTCGCGTATCTGGAACTCGTCGTCTCTCATTGTACCTCTGCGCAGCTCTTCCATCTTGGATTGTGCAAACTGATCCGTCTGCAGCGCACGTCGCACCGCGTCCAGGTCGACGGCGACTGAAGCGCATGCCCACGCCTGCGGTGCGAAAATGTGCTTGGCTGCTACTGTTGCCGCTTCCTCGAGATATTGCGGTTTCCTTGAGAGCGCATCGGCTATGACATTGGAGTCCCCCGGGATGTACTCTATTCGGAAGTCGAAATCCGCGAAGAATTCCGCCCAGCGCATGTGCCTCTGGCTCTGGAGCTTCGCCGTGCGCCAATACTCTAAGTTCTTGTGGTCCGTGCGGACCTGCACGGTGTGCTTGGCTCCTATGAGGAAGTGCCGCCACGCTTTGAAAGCCGCGTGAATGGCCAACAACTCCCTGTCCCAGATGGTGTAGTTTTGTTCCGCCTTGCTGAGCTTCCGGGAGTAGAAAGCACAGGGCCTCCAGTTCCCTTGCGGGTCTTCCTGCAAAAGGACGGCCCCTACCGCTCTGTCTGATGCGTCAGTCTTGACCCTCATGGGCCTGCCGGGATTCACGTGCAGCAGCTGTTCCTCGGAGGCGAAGAGGCTTTTAAGCTTCTGAAAAGAGCGCTCTGCCTGGTCCGTCCAAGTGAACTTCTTCTTCTTGGAACTGAGAGTGTCCGTGATTGCTGCTGTCTCCTTCGCGAAACCTCTGATGAACTTGCGGTAAAAGTTGGCGAAACCGACGAACCTCTGGACTTCCTTCCGATTGCGCGGGCTCTTCCAGTCCAACACCGCGCGGACCTTGACGCTGTCCATGGCCAGCCCCTTGTCGGACAGCTTGTAGCCCAGGAAATCCACCTCCGTCACATCGAACTGGCACTTCTCCAACTTGGCGTAGAGTCTGTGTTCCCATAGTCTCTGCAGGACCTCCTTTACGTCTCTCTCGTGAGCCTCCGGCGATTCCGAGAAGATCAGGATGTCGTCGAGGAAGCACACACACTTCTTGTAGAGGAGTCCCGCTAGCACGTGATGCATAAAGGCTTGGAAGCAGTGGGATCCATTTTGGAGACCAAAAGGCATAACTCTGTATTCATACGTGCCCAGAGGCATGAACATGGCCGTCTTCCACTCATCGCCCTCACGCATGCGTATGAGATTGTACGCTCCGCGCAGATCCAACTTGGTGAAGATCCTCCCCTTCCGCACGGTCGCTAGGAGGTCGTCAATCTTGGGCATGGGAAAGGCCTTGGGCTTTGTCATCGAGTTTATGGCTCGATAGTCCACAATGAGTCTCTTCTGGGGCGTGTCCTTCTTCTTCACAAAAAACACAGGACTGCCCCCCACCGCTTTGGATTCCCGAATGAATCCGCGCTTCAAATTGTGCTCTATGAACTCCCTGAGTTCTTGCATCTCATCTTCAGACATGGAATACAGCTTTGCAGTCGGCAGCTTCGCCCCCGGCAACAGGTCAATCGCACAGTCGTAAGGCCTGTGGGGTGGCAGCTGGTCAGCTTCCTTCTCACAGAAAACCTCCAAAAATCCCTCGTACTTGCGGGGGACTGCCTGCACCATGCCGAGTTGCAGTTGCTGCCCAGCTTCCTCCTCTTGGCTGGACTGGATGCAATGTTGAGCACAGTACGATGAGCAAAAGGTGAGTTGTCACTGGTACCACGCCACTGCTGGACTGTGTCTCTCTAGCCAGCTCATGCCTAACACTATAGGCGTGTCTGATAGGCGGGTGACGTTGAAGCTAATGACTTCTCGATGATTTCCAATCTGCATCACCATGGGAGGCGTCTGTTGCACAACTTGCCCTCCTAGCAATTTCCTGCCATCGACCGTGACTACGTTCAGGGGCGTCGTAGCTGGCAGAAGCGCTATGCGATGCTGCTTGACGAACTGCACCCCCACAAAGTCCGCGTTGCTCCCAGAGTCGATTGTAATGGGGACTTCCAGGGTGGTTCCATTCGGCAACTGGAGTGTTGCAGTGAGCTGCACCGCTGGCTTGGGTGGTAAGGGGTCTGTGTGCTGCAAAATCGCTGGGGACTGCTCTACAGACTCGCCTGGCTGAGCCCCAGCATCGCTGTCTCCAGCCAGGCACTGTCGTTTCCCTGAAACGGCTCTTCGTGAAGTACGTCTGCTGCGACCGTTGCTAACGCTGCAGTGTGCTTCTGGAGCCTCTGGGGACACTCTTTAGCCATGTGCTGTGCACTGTCACAGATGTAACATTTCCTGTTCCCTCTAGGAGGCTTCGCCTTGACTGCACTGGACGTTGGGGCTCTGGCTGCTGTCTGAGCTCTAGCACCACCAAGCTCCATTGGTTCCTCCCCCTGCCGCATCAGAGGCAAAGGATGCGCCTGGCCGAACTCCCTGGGGATAAGAGGAGGTGCCCTCGCTGGCGCATGCACCTGGCGACCTTCCTCACTGTGCCAAGGACGTTCTTCGTGTCGTACTCCAGTCGCAAGAGCCCTCTGTACTACGTCTGCTAGGGTTTGAGGTCTGTCACCCCTGGCCAATTCATCTTTTATGGAGCCATGGAGTCCCTCCCAGAACAAATCTCTCACTGGTTTGGAGTCTTTCTCCCAGCCCAATACAGTCAGCAATGCAAAAAAGCGCGAATGGTACTGACGCACAGTGGCTTTGCCTTGTCTGAGTCCGTGCATCTCTCGGCGCGCAACATCAACATCTACGGTGGACTGGAAACAAGCGTCCATAGCTTTGATAAATTCATCAGAATCACGGCGGGCAGGACCATCTTCGCGCCACAAATTGCGCAGCCACGCTCTAGCGTCTCCATGCAAATGAGACACAATAAAACCCACTTTCTCCTCCTCATCTTTAAAGTCATTGCGAAGCAAATGCAGTGCATATAGGACGTCTGCTCTGAAACTGGGGTAGTGCTTCAGGTTCCCATCGAAGTGGGCGACTAAACTGCCCCCCCCCGCCTTCCAAGTCCAATTCCTTCTGATCTGGACCCTGGGAACCCCTCTCTGCATGCACGCTCCCACCTGGCTTGCAGATCCTGGCATCGCTTCTCTGCTTCGTCACTCTTCTTCTGAGAGGCTATTACCGCAGTGGAGAGCTCGGTGACTGCATTCCGTAGCGCTGTCAACTGTTCCTCCGCACTTCGTGAGCTTTGCAAAAAAAAATTTGCGTTCTTTTTGAGAGGGGACTTACTGTCAGGGCCGCCTCAGGTCCCAGCTCACAAGAGACCAACGCCAAGTCCACTTTATTTACAAAAGTCTTTATTGAAGTACATTGTTTGTTCCACAGCCGAGGCGCGCAGCCCCACGTCTGTTACGCTTAGACCGCTGAAGTCCCCTCTGAATCAGTCCCGCCTCTACACCAGTTTAAGAGGCTTGTGCTGGTCCACCTCTTCCTGTCCTTCCTTTTCCGCAGGGTCTTTCTGCCCCCCTGGGTTCCTCCCCTCCTGGATTCCCCTGACGCTGAGTCCCCAGACGCCTGCTCCCCCCTCCTCCGTGCTTTGGGACCAGGCTCCTCCTCCGGGCTCTCCGCATTTCCGCGCGCCTCCACATTTGAACTTGGCGCGCGTTCGCTACCTCTGACCTTCCTCTTGACAGTTACACTACTCTCTGTACTACTCTCCGCCCCTTCCGGCAGGACGTCTTGCCCCGATCTCCTTCCCCCCTCTGCTTCCTGCTCTGCTTCGTCTGTCACACTGGGAACTCCACCCTCTTCACTCCGTTCCGGCGGGGAAGCCGGCCCCGATCTCCAACTCCCACTCGGGGTTCCCCTGCTGCTCCCCTGCTCCTGACGAGTCCCCCCTGTGACTCCCCTTGGCCTGACCAGGGGCGCCCCCTTTTGGGAATCCTCCGATTCACTTGAAAGACTCATGGAACCCTCAAGTCATTGTCATCCTCCTCCTCCTCGTTCCGGGATTCTTCCCCCTCGCTCTCAGTCTCCTCCCTCATCTGTGCCTCTCTCCCTGAACCCGACACTCACCTTTTTCTCCAAGGAGCTTGATGTGGCATACATGGTTCTCCCCCTCCTCTTCAATCTCCACAACAACCCTGAGAGGTACTTTAGGCTAAGAGATACAGACTGGCCTTAAAGTCACTCAGTGAGTTTCATGGCCGAGTGGAAATTTGAATCCTGGTCTCCCAGGTCTTGGTCCAACACTCTAATTACTGTACAACATTGGCTCTCTACTTAAAATCATAACACAACTTCCATTACACAAGCTTAAGATGCTAAAAAGAGCCCCCAATCACCCCCATTAAGCTTGGATAGGGGAGGTGTAAAGACTTATTATAACCCTAATTACGTGGGAGGGGTGAGCATGGTGCCCATGATAGTTTATCCAGTTTGCAAATGGGCCCATGAGCCCCAAAAGGTTGGTGACCCCCATCCTATAGGATGCATAAGTCAACTACAGCAACTGGACCACAAGTGATGGTTTGGTATTCGCATTCCTGATTGGGAGGAATGTTGACCACATTTTCTTTCCACCGTCATCCATCTTACAGGTTGAACATGAAGAGATCCCTCCCCAAGAGATCATCTACACTGTCACCATCTCCCCACTTTCAGGATTCCTGGTGGCCTTATCTCATGGCCCCACCTCGGACGAGCCTCCCAGCTTGGATCCCATTCAGACCTTCACCCAGGAGGATATCAATGAAGGCAAAGTTCTCTACCTCCATTCCAGCCCTGAGATACAGGGTGACCAGTTCACCGTTGACATCACAGCCAACGGGGTGGATGCCCTGGCAGGGGTTGTGGTGGACCTGGAGATTGTTCCTATTTCTTTCCCACTGGAGGTGCACAACATGACAGTGACTGAAGGGAGCTCCCAGGTGCTCTCCATGGACATCCTGAATATCCCCAGCACTTACTTCACGGCTCTTGAGGTGGAGTTTGTCATCGTTGAACCGCCAGAACATGGCATTTTCCAGAAGGTGGAGAGACCCGAAGAGGGCAGCCTAAGTGCATTTTCTTGGTCTGAGGTAAGAAGGCAGCAACATCTGCCATTGACCTGAAGTCCTGTTGGTGTTTCTGGCAATGCATGGGTGCGATGCTTCAGAGTTTACTCAGAAGAAAGCCCCAATGCTACATATATTCCATAGAAATGCATAGTTTTTTACAGGGCAATCATCTACATTTCTGCTCAAAAGTAAGTCCATTTGCGTTCTGTAGGGCTCACTGCCAGGAAGCTGTGGATAGGATTGCAGGCATAAACACTACATTGTGCCAGCTCTAGGAACATAGAAAGCTGCTTGTGCTGCAATCCCATCTGCACTAGATATTTAAAGCTGTATTTTACCACTTTAAACAGCCGTGGCTTCCCCAAAGAGCCCAAGCTACAGCTTGTGAAGGGCAATGAGAATTGTTAGGAGGCTCCTGTCCACCTTCCAGTGCTACAATTCCTAGAGTGGCTTAACTATCAGTCCCTCTTCCTCCCAGGGAACTCTGGGAATTGTAGCTCTCTGAGGTGAATAGTGCTCTCCCAACAACTCTCAGCACGCTTAACAAGTTACAGTTCCCAGGATTCTGTGAGGGGAGCCATGGCTGCTTGAAGTGGCATTGTGGTGCTTTGAATGTATAGTGCAAATGGGGCCTGAGCCAAGCTATTGATCCAGTGTAGTATTGTCTACACTGACTGGCAGCTGCTCTTCAGGGTTACAGGCAGGGGGCCCTACCTGGAGATGCCAGGGATTGAAACTGGGACCTTCTGCATATAACACATGTGCTTAACACTGAGCTCCAGCCTTTCCCCTAATCTTGCAGGGGGGGGGCACATTATTGACTGGTGCTCTCTCAAGTTCTAGCTCCAAAACACAATCTGGAAATTGAGGAAGGGGTTTTGTTTTGTGTGGTGTCCTCACCTTCTGCTCCATAAATCCTTCCATCTAATCCAAGCCTGCACAACTTGTAGCTCAGCAAGCCAAACAAAAACCCTCCAGACTTATGGAGTAGACTCCATAAACCTCCTGGCTTAGCTGCCTGACTAGGACTTTGAAAGTGGAGTGGGGGTCCCCTAAGCACAAGAAACCTGCGATCCACAAGCCAGAGCATGGTAGAAAATAGTGGCTCAGAAGCATGGACCTAGGCTAAGAATTAGAGAACAGGCTGGCTCTGAAAAGCTCAGGAATTTTGATCAGTACCAAAACTGAATTCACAATCCCTTCAAGCAAATAGCCACTCCTGGTTTCCCCCCATAACTTTTAGTGACCTAACGTAGGGAGGAATGCTTTTTAGTTTTTGCTATTGTTAGCTAATGAGGTATAAAAAATCCCTGTCCCCCTATTCCTCCTGAAGTCTAGAGCTCTGGGGCTTAGGAAAACAAAAAGCTTGGACACTGAGTTTTTAAGCACGGATGTGTTCCTAGAAAAAGAGTGGCAAAAGGGAAGTCCTGCCTCAGACCTTCTGCATTCCAAGCAGGTCCTCTGCCACTGAGCTGTGGCTCTTCTGTCCTCCCCTGGCCCACACTAACCAGCCATGGCTCTCCAGGATTTCAGCCAAAGGTCTTTTCCAGTCTGCCCTGGAGACACCCAAACCAATGGCTTCAAGTTACAAGAATGGAGATTCCAACTAGACACCAGGAAGAACTTTCTGTCCGTAAGAGCTCTTTGATAGCAAAAGGGCCCCTCTCAGAAAGCAGTGGGGTCTTAAACACAGGTCAGATGGCCATCCCTCAGGGATTCTTCAGCTGCAATTCCTGCATTGCAGGGGGTTGCACTAGGTGACCCTTGGGGTACCATGCAACTCTACAATTCTTTGATTCTATGATACTGGGAATAGAACCTGGGACCTGTTGCAGACAAATGTCTGTGTCCTCTTTGCATTCAGGTGGAGCATCAACTTGTTCAATACATGCATGATGGCAGTGAGTCGTTGGTTGACAGATTTACAGTGGTCGCCAACATCTCCAAGCACAACCAAGAGAGCCAACCCAGGACGGTCTACATTGACATTCTCCCAAGCAATGATGAGGCACCGGTGCTGATGGTCAACATGGGACTGCAGGTACCTTGTCAACCAAAGCAAGGGGTGGGGGTGGGGCGTTTGAGGATGCTGGGGTGAGGAGCTGAACAGAAATCTCATAGGTTGGCTCCAAGGGACAATCCTGTTTCAACATACAACTGTAGAGGGCCAGGAGTCAGCAAACTTTTTCAGCAGGGAGCCGGTCCACTGTCCCTCAGACCTTGTGGGGGACCAGACTATATTTTTTGGGGGGAAATGAACAAATTCCTATGCCCCACAAATAACCCAGAGATGCAGTTTAAATAGAAGGACACATTCTACTCATGTAAAAACATGCTGATTCCCGGACCGTCAGCAGGCCAGATTGAGAAGGCGATTGGGTCTGATCCGGCCCCAGGCCTTAGTTTGCCTACCCATGGCATAGGCTGTTAAGAGTGTGCTGGACTGTGAGTTCAGTTTTAAAGGCATGTCTTTGGCATATTCTGTGTCTCACTGACAATATTTGTAAGGGGACATGAATGTGGCAAATGAGCTTCAAATCAAAAGTGCTTTCAGTATCAGGTGTGAAATGCCCTTAGGATGATCAGGGCCTTCATTATCAGCCTGCAATAGTCAGTGAAGGAACAGAACTCAAGTGGCCAAGCGGGGAAAGGAGAACATAGAACCACACAGGGCTGGCTCTATCATTAGGCAGGGTGAGGGGGCTGCCTCAGACAGTGGTTGCTGGTGGCACAGTGCTCTCCCCAGGTGCTCCACCTGATCCTACAGACATATACACAGCACCATTCCTTTGGAAGACATAGCTGTGCATGCCATGTGGCGTAATCTATGCCCTCTCGTTGCCTGCCGCCCCCAGGGAACTGAAGGATGTTATCCAGTCACTAGGATTGCAGCATCAACTGCCAGTCCAGTCAGATTCTGTATATGGGCGCTTGGGGGGGAACTGTCATCCCGCCACTCCTTGGTGTGTGGAGTGCCTCAGGGTGCGATTCTCTCCCCGATGCTTTTTAACATCTTTATGCGCCCCCTCGCCCAGCTTGTCCGGAGTTTTGGGCTGGGCTGCCATCAGTATGCTGATGACACCCAACTCTATCTGTTGATGGATGGCCATCCTGACTCGGCCCCAGACACACTGATCAGATGCTTGGAGGCTGTGGCTGGATGGTTACGTGGGAGCCGGTTGAAGTTAAATCCTTCGAAGACAGAGGTCCTCTGGCTGGGACGGGACGATATGGGATTGAGGGGGCAACTCCCATCTCTTGCGGGGGTGCAATTAGTGCCAGCACCGTCCGTTAAGAGTTTGGGTGTAATCTTCGATACCTCCCTCTCCATGGAGGCGCAGATTGCAGCTATAACAAAGGCGGCATTTTTTCATCTCCGCCAAGCTAAGCAGTTGGCTCCTTACCTCTCTCGCCCTGACCTAGCCACTGTGATCCACGCGACGGTCACCTCCAGACTGGATTATTGTAACTCGCTCTACGTGGGGCTGCCCTTGAGACTGACCCAGAAACTCCAGCGGGTGCAGAATGCCGCAGCGAGACTCCTTACGGGGTCTTCACTGCGGGATCACATTCATCCGGTGCTATACCAGCTGCACTGGCTCCCGGTGGAGTACAGGATCAGGTTTAAGGTGCTGGTTTTAACCTTCAAAGCCCTACACGGCCTAGGACCCTCGTATCTACGGGACCGCCTCTCCTGGTATGCCCCACAGAGGAACTTACGGTCCTCAAATAAAAACATCTTGAAGGTCCCAGGCCACAGAGAGGTTAGGCTGGCCTCAACTAGAGCCAGGGCTTTTTCGGCTGCGGCTCCAACCTGGTGGAACGCTCTGTCACAAGAGACAAGGGCCCTGCAGGACTTGACATCTTTCCGCAGGGCCTGCAAGACAGAGCTGTTCCACCAGGCCTTTGGTTAGGGCACAGCCTGACTCCCTCCTTTGGCAATCTTTACAATACTTTAGTTTATGGTTGCCATCAATTTTGATTTTAATTAATTCTTATGATGTTTTATAATGTTGCACTATTTTAGTGTTGTTAGCCGCCCTGAGCCCGGCTTCGGCTGGGGAGGGCGGGATATAAATAAAATTTATTATTATTATTATTATTATTATTATTATTATGGGATGGCAGGGGTGGCACCATCTTGTCCTTTACCACAAGCACCAAAAGATATTGGACCATTCCTTATCCCACAGCCCTAAGCCTTTCAAGTTAGCGTTTGATCACTCCCTACTGTGTATAGTGAGAGCCAGCATGGTATATTGGTTAGATTGTGGGCCTGCAGCCTCGGAAGTCAGGGTTCAAATCCCCCACTTGGCCAAGAAGCCAATCAACAATGTCCTTACCTACCTCACAGGGTTGTTGTGAAATTAATATTGGGGGGGGGGAGCTGTGGTTGCCACTTTCAGCTCATTGGAGGAAATGTGGAATCTCAATGCAATTATAAACATGAGACCCTCCAGATGTTGTGTTCAGCTGCTTGCCCGGTGTGGCCAGCGGTGAGGGATGACGGTGTGGACTTTCCTACCGCTGCTCAGCTCTGCTACTGCCTGAAGAGGTTTCCCACAGAGGCTTTGCACAGAGGTTTGGCGCAGATGAAATGTACCGGACAGGCAGATATTCAACAGATGGGAGTTGTAGTTAATCAATGCCTGAAGAGCTACAGGTTCCCCACCCTCCCAGACACCAGAATCCGACCTCTGTTTTCAGCATTAGCAGAGAAAATAGAGTCTGAAAGCAGGTGTCCGTATGAATCTCAGCTCTGAGATCTAGCTGCTAAAGCAAGTTAGTTGCTGGCTGTGGCAGGGAAGAGGAAAGGGTGGGAATGCAGAAAGCAGGCAGCATGCTGCTGCAGTTTTTCCATTAGACCTTGACACCAAGTGAGGCATTGGATGGGTGCTTGGTGGTGGGGAGGTGAAGCAGAAAAGGAGACAGCCTTTTTGCATTCTTTCCTTGGATGCCGCAAACACCATCTGTTTTTCCATCTCTTGCCATGCTGCAACATTGCCACAGGATGGCAGCATACATCCATGCTATGGCTTCCAGCTTGCAAGGGCAGGTTGTCAAGACACGTGCAGTTTTATGTAATACAGCAACCACCAGGATCCAGCAAAGCACCTGTACCAGTGGGGACTTTTCCACTGATGGTGGAAAGTTCTTGACTCTAGAGAAGTATAACCAGTCTGTAATGTAACAGGGAGTCCTTGGAGCACCCCACAATCGCCTAACCTTGACTCCCATAGGTTCAGGTCAGGCAAGACACCTCCACCAGGAGATAGAAGCATAACAGCAGCCAGTAGGCCTTATCTTTATTGTTGCAACAAGATTTCCCACTACCACAAAGTCAAAGCAGCCGGAAGCCCCGAACAATGGTTACATCAATATTTTAAAGTTTCCCAAAGTTTCCCATAATACATCTCAGGATGCATCATCAAGACACCATAGATATGCCACAGAAAAGATGGGGTCTCAGGTAGAACCTGACATCCAGTCATGCCCCGTCACTCAAATACAGTCTTTCACACTTATTCCATCACAGTACAAAGGAAAGTATTTACAGTTCCCTGGCCAAGCTTCATCCCACTATGGGGCAGGCTGGCATTGTGATTGAGGTGGTTATCTGTCTGAAACTTCTTGGGGCCCACTCACCCCTCCCCTTATACCTCACTTCCCTGGGTCCTAAATGCCATTGGAACTGAGAATATTGATAGAATGAGTGATTTCTTATGCATTTCTAAAGTTTTCCCATTGAGCCAGTATATAGATACATTTATCAGTGAATTGCAACATTTGGTAGTGACATTTTCCCTGTTTTCCTTTGTTGGGGCTCAGCAGGGAGTTGCAGGATCCTGATCTGAGCTCCCCTTGCAGATTCAATGCCTTTGCAGAGATGTTGCTGTTATTTTCTCTTGACACTAGAGGATTTGGTTTGATGGGTGAAAGGCAAGGAAATACCTCTCTGTGGTCCATATGTGGGTGAATTTGTGCAGCAGAGACTGTTTGTCTTTGCCTTATGGCAGTGGCAGAGCTTCATGCTCTGGCACGGGGGTAGTGGTGGTGTGGAGAGCAGCCAGGGGCAGGGCTGCTGTGTGTCCTGGGGGCGTGATGCACCGCCTGCTGGGGCATGGTGCCTAGTGCGGGCGGGCAGGGGGCAGCCGCGATGGCATCCCACTGGGATCACGCTGCCGGGGTTGGTGTGCTCCCCCCATACTCCTCTTCCTCCTCCAGTGCCTTATGGTGTAGAGACGCAACTCATGGGGGGAGGGAGGTCTCTCACCCCCCTTCCAATTTCCCAGTAACAGCAAACACACAGTTCCTCAGCCAGCCCATCCTCCACCAGCTATTTCCTATTCTATTGTTGTTATTAATTTGCAATGGGAAGGCCTGGTTTTTTTTGGGGGGGTACATATCCCTGGTATAGAGAGACACACAGCCCTAATCTTTGAGCTTCAGTTTGCTTGAAATGAAGGGGAGGGGTGTCTCAAGGAGATACAGTTTTATTTACAGAAATAAATACACACATATACAACCTGAGCGGGTGGTGCTGTGGTCTAACCCACTGAGCCTAGGGCTTGCTGATGAGAAGGTCGGCGGTTCAAATCCCTGTGGTGGAGTGAGCTCCTGTTGTTCGGTCCCAGCTCCTGTCCACCTAGCAGTTCGAAAGCACGTCAAAGTGCAAGTAGATAAATAGGTACTGCTCCAGCGGTAAATGTTTCTGTGCACTGCTCTGGTTCATGCTGGCCACATGACCCGGAAGCTGTCTGAGGAAAATGCAGGCTCCCTCAGCTTATAGAGCAAGATGAGCACTGCAACACCAGAGTCGTCCACAACTGGACCTAAGGGTCAGGGGTACCTTTACCTTTACAACCTGAGCATAGGATGGAGGGGCTCACAGCATCAACACTCCAACAGATCTTGCTTCTCCATTAGTCTCAGGTTTGGAGCCAGCAAAGAGCAAGCAGGTCTACCCATGAGCCTGGAGGGCCCCCTCACTTAGGGGGCTCTTGCAGTCAGGCTCACTCTTTTAGGATGCTGATGACAGGG